TTATGCTAGTTTGCTAATCATAATTTGTATTGTATGAATTGTACACCAACTCTGTTTGCTACTGCTTTAAATCAAGCTTCATCTATAGCTATCCTAAACGGATGCCGCATCTCGATCACACAAAACACTGGACTTTTATTAAATAACTACTTAAATCCGCAGGCTTTCAGTGCAAATATAAGTTAATATAAACCATTCTTACTCACTTTTGAATGAAGAGCAAATAGTGCAAATAGCTAGACGAAAACTAGGTTTCGTTTTACTTTCCTGCCCATGAGAATTACTAGCCTTGCTTCACAGGAAGGGTTGTCTGGTGTAGACTACCATCTATAGGAGACAAGACGCCACTGCATGATAATAAGATTTATCAATCAGTAAAGCAGCACGTCTTATGGATGTGTATGGTAGGCTATTGTTTTGTATTTTACATATACAGAATGACACGGGGTGAAACTCTTATGCAACATTTTCTTTGCAACTTGTTTCCAGTTTCTCTGCAAAGAGTGCATGTGACGTCAGAGTGTCACAGACACTGGAGAGAGCATGTGAGCATGATGTAGGCAGATAACTCCTTGAAAGGACAGATATGTAGCACAGTTAGTTAAAAAAATACCTTTAAATGTCCATGTGACAGGAAAAGTTTGAATATTGAATATTTTTCTCAGCTTCCTTTACCAAAAAGTAGTATACTTCAAGTTTATTTTAGTAAGTATACTTAAGTAATGTTCAAGTATATTTTAAGTATACTTAATGTAGTAAGTATACAAATATCAGTGTACTTGTAGTATACTTGTAAGTGTACTATTTCAATACTCATTGGGACTAAATTGGCCCACTTTCTAATATATAAAAGTATACTTTTAAGTATACTTTAAGTATAACAGTAGTAAACTTTGAGTACACAACTAGTTTACATCAAAATGTTTAGTTTGTACTGCAACTATACTAAAAGTGAACTTACAGGCATACTGATAGTTTACTAATTAAATACTTGTGGTAGCATTTTTAGTACACGTTGAAGTATAGTCTCAGTAAACTGTTAGTTTAGTAGTTTTATACTACAAGTATACTCGTAAGTTTTCTTTAAGTGAACTTTACATAATACTTTAAGTATACTATTATGTCCCTATTTAGGTATTAATTTGTATATATTTTGTTACATGAATATCTGAACATACAAAACATCAAAAGAACAGGGTATCTGCTTGTAAACAAAAACATTTTATTCTAGCTTCATGCATTCTTTTTTTAAACACTTGAATGTGGATAAGTTTCATAAATAAAAATAAAGAAATAACATTTTGAACAAAAAGCTGAAAAAAGACTATGAATTGGATTCAGAATGATAATCAA